TTCCAGATGATCATACTGACCTATTTTTACGGGAGATTGGCCCATCACTTTGATTTCAATAGCATTATGTTAAAAAGAGGATTTTTGGAGCATTCCAGATTTTTCCAGATTTTATATTTTACCTGGTCCAATTTTTTCTGAAAATGACCTGGCAACGCTGACCGTGGTAGAGGTAACAATAGCTACAATTTCCAAACCTACGACTGGATGCCTTCCTTCAGATAACAACTTGAGTGCGGTAAAAATCGATAGAACTGTTTCAAACAACTCGTCGGTACTTGAGCGTGTCGGTGATCATCTGTTTTTGTCAATGGTGGCGGGGGGAATACCCCTCACCATAAAGAGAGATGATCAAACCGATTTGTACCTTCCTAAAGTTGTCCTTGCTCGCTTTCTACTCTCTACATGCAATTTTCACACTTCCGTACTCTAAAGGAACTATGAATTCTATACTTTCATCTCCTCTCCGATCGTATAAAAATTGCCACTTTAGTCTGTTATTCGAAATTAGCATCTTCAACTATATCTCAAACATGCCACTTCATAGGTATAATTTTAGAATGACCCCTCCCCCGAGAGATCCGTCCCTTCTAAAAAAATCTTATCATTTTAATTCAAATTCCATTATGTTTACTTGACAAAACATTTGAAATTTCATAAATCCATAGAAATTTCGTTTATATACGGCAACTTAAAATTGGGGTCAAATCGACCCCAGGGTACAGACAACGTAAGTATTTCAATAAATTGTTTCCAGTAAATATTTTATCTAGATTCTAAGAGCATATTTAATCTAGTACTACAGAGCTCTAGTGAACGTACCTAGTCCTGAAAGAACTAGTAAAATCCAACGACAAATAAAAAAGTTACAGCCTTTCTAAGTGGCCTGGGGCTCAATTGACCCCAAGGTACAAACAAAATGTTAAATGAAAAGAGTTTCAATTTAATTCTAAGTAGAAATTTAAGGTGAGAAGAAAATTTTAAGTGTGATTTCACCATGATTGCTAGCCCAATGTGAGAATAATTCCAAAAGAATTCCAAGGAGACATTCAACGGGAGATCGAAGCATGATTCTATCAGAGAAGAGGAGAGAACTTAATAAATGCTAAGGAATTCAGGCTAGGAATAGTGAAGAAAGTTACAGGTGAATTTTAAGGAGAATTAAAAAAAAATATTCTGTTGAAAATTCCATGGAAGTTCGGACAATAATGTCTGTAACATTATGAGGAGAATGGAAGTTCTGATAAATTTAATTTAAATTTCAATCTCCTTCAATTCCATGGAGTGGTTCAATGCAATTCCTATGAGATTTTAATGAAAACTAGAATAAGAATTCCCTGTGAATCCTAAAGCATATTTTGAGGAGGTCCTAAGCAGATTATAAAATTATTTTAAGGAATAATTCCATAGAAGTTTTATGGGATTACTGAGAAAATTCTGAAGAAAATTCAAAAGAATCAAAAAAATACTGAGGTTAATGTTAAGGTAATAACGCTACAATTATTAAAAATTTGAAGTGTATTGAAGAGCGTATTTCAAGAGTGCTTTGAAGAAAATTATGTGGGTATTACCATAAAGACTGGGATTTTAGATTATTTTAATGAAATTCTTGAACAAATCCTTAAGATATATTGAGAAAGGTTCCAAGATAATTCAGACTTGGAACAATAGTAAAGATTCTGAGACTTCAGATAAATTTATACTTAAAACAAATTAGATATGAATATTCCGAAGATGGATGATTAATTGAAACATTCAAAATGCTGGATGTTTTAGCAATGATTAAAACAAATCAAATTTCTAAGGCATCTAAGTATTCAGGATTCATGCATTTTTGAAAATTTCAAGACAGAACTCAAACAATTTTTCGAAACACTTAGGCACTCAGATTCCATAGATCTGAGATTTAAAACAACTCCCGTTATTTCGAAATTTGAACACTTGAAAAGACTATGAGGTGATTTTAAGTAACAGATTTATCTTCCTTTGAACTGTGATCACTTCATTTGAGATTTTGCCCCCTCTATTTTGAAACCTGCTCGTAATAACTATTTTCTAGAAGCTGCTTAAAGTATGAAGCCAAAATCTCCTACAATCTCTAGGCTTCCCCAATCTCTATTTGAATGTTATTATTATAATGGTTGAACTTTTTACCATTATGATGGCAACACTGCCAGTGCTTTCGAAACTTATTTTGTGATCCTCTGAGAGAGGTAACACGTGCTTATTTAACGGTTAAAAGAATCAATTTTGAATGAAATTATTAGAAGCTTGCCCTCAGACCGTAAGAGCGTGAACCGAGACTTTAAGTTAAAACTTCCAGCACGGTCCTGCTACATATTTGTGGACTGAGCTAACTAATGTGATAAACATGTGTATAGGCATACAATTCTTCTAGTTATTAACAGTGGACAATGAGCTTTGGCTTCAATTCATATTAAATTCAATCGCTTTTTCCTCCGTGCCATTTGCAAAAGTTGCAAACCCTCTGCAGCGGAAAACATAGCACGGCATATGTAAATTTTCCTGAACTGATCCGGACTAACTGGAGCGAAAAATTTCCTCCGCTCAGTGCACCCGGATTTCCTTCTCTGGCCAATCGTTCTCTTATCGTACCCAAAAAACTAAATAACTGGCGAAAATCCGGGTGATAACACAAAGGCTTGTACACTGCATCATCATCATCATCATCATCAACAACAAAAGCAGCCGCACATTGTAAGCATGTTTATTGAAAAAGGGTTATTTTCGTAGTTGTCTATCACATACATACACACACATACGTGTCGTTCAATGCTGAAGCATAAGCTGCCCGGTTCCGATAATTGGTCTGCTTTTGACAGGACCTCTCAATGCTTGAATATGCTGGTGCCGATATGAAATGCGTGAGCTGAAGGTAATTGTTTTAAAACATTTCAATTCTATGGGCTGTTAATCCCATTGACCGTGTGGATTTGCTCGTTAATGACTTTAAAAAAACTGGTGGTTTGGGGATCATGGATCCACTCCAATAATGGAAAATTAAGCTCTCAATCAATCCTCCGCTCGAGAACGTTTTCAATTGCTATAACTCCTTGAATATTCATTTTATGACAATTCGGATAGATCTATTGAATTCAAATTTCGCTTATTTGAATGTCAAATCTGGTTGCTCACCGGTTTCCTCCCTGACAAGGGCAAAGAAGGAACGTGATTTTCCGCTTAGTTGAGCCACATTCCATGGAAGCGTAGCAGAAAATGTCACCTTGTCGCATCCCATCATATGTGCTGGCACTGAAATTGCGCGCCTGGAAGCACCACTGACTGCTGCTGTTGGGCTGCCTTTGTGACGTAACGTGAATCAAGGGACAAAGACAAAGAGGAAAGTGGTAGCCGCAGCATCAATCGGGGAACCAGCTTCCCGGAAAATATTTGCACTCGTAAGCACTCCGAAGTGATAGATCAGGCAGATCAACTCGTTGCCAACTGCTCGTATGTAGAACGGTGGTGGTTCCGGATTTTGGAGTGAAGTGATTTATAAAACGGCAGCCAAGTAATGGAAGCACGAGCGAGTGTGACAGCACCGGATGAAAACGACGACGACGATGTGGTTGCTCCAAGTAGATTCTGCCACCGTCGCGTCCAATTATAGTGATTTTTCACGTAGATGAAATAAAATTCTATTGATTTTACGTGTGCGAATAAATAACACTTTTACGCTAACATCACCTGCACGTACCAGTCGAGAGCATCGATTGTTTCGTATCCTGTGTGGTGGTGTTCCTTGCAATCGATGGGTGGCGCACCGGGCTGTTGGCTGTCAAGTTAGAATTTATGCATGTCGTTGTCTTTTTGGCTGGAGCTTCCTGTTCTGATGCCACAGTGCACCAGTGACTCCCACGGGGGAGGTTCCGGTCTAGGAATGTAGCATCCAATCATATCGGAAAGCGCAAGGACGGCCAGCAATCGGATTCCGGCATGGCAGTGGGAAAGTCAAACATCCAGAGCATCACTTCGATTTATGATGACTTTCATGAGTGAGAGCACAGTCAGACTTCTGATTACTGCTGAATACCAAGAAACAATAGTTTGAATCAGCACTTTCGACCGGGACAGAAGCAGACCCACTGTACCCATTCCGTAAGCTAACCTAATCGAAATCATTTGCTGCACACCTCAACAATTGCTGGCGGGCGAGATGCATGCAGATTTACGATTTCAATTAAGTTATCTCCATTGAATCGATTTTCCGAGATCAACCGTTTGACAGGGCAGCAGTGGCTTCACGGAACGGACTTCGCTCGGGATGAGAAGCGATTTGAGTTTTTATCCGTTCGTTCCACTCGTGGGAGATATGGGGAGGCGTACCCTGGTGAAGCACCGTTGAAGATCGCTCGTTTGACATTTTTTGTGGGGAACTTTTCTAACGAGAATTAACTCATTGTCGATCGATGACGGGTGGCCAAGTTGATTTGGGACGTTCAGTAGTTTTCAGTGTTTGAAGTTTTCACTGTTCACTGAATAATTCACGTGTATTTTCGTAACCATTGGACTCCCATGTGTCAGTAAACTAAACTGATTTCCTTGTATCGGCGAGACGACGAATCATGGCACATAAAGAATAAGAGAAAAATAAATCTTGCTTCATCGATGATCAAATACGTTCACACAAACGATTTACTACTGACGGTATCATCGAAAGAATCTTTATATTCGTGTGTACCATTCGTCATGGATTGTGTGCGTTAGTTTCTGTTCATGATACATCTGCGTATCGCAGTATAACACTGGCGAATGGTTCATATTCAGCAACATGTAATGACACTGAATATGGATGGTCAAAAGCTGTGGCATAAAGTGAACATTAACTGTTCACATCGAATTACGTGGGTTATTGGGGGAGATTTTGTATTGCCAGGTTCCTAATTTTGCGTATATATTCTTAATAAATATAACCATTGTAGTATAATTATATGCCTGTTATGATTAGTGTGTAATCCATTTTCTAGTTTTAAGCCAGATATTGTGTTTTATGTTTGAGTGTGTATTTTCTGTCCAGATTGTGTTCTATGTTTTGACAGTGTATTTCCGTTCTAAAAAATTGAAACCACCTTTATGGGTTCATCTAGATCCGTTTTGATTTCATTCGTGTAAAAGCAAGTAAAGCGTGCGGAATAAAATTTTTAACCGTTGAGTACGCGTCGTGGTTTTTTCATTCGGAAATCTTTACAGTAAATCAGAAGTGGGATAGTTCATCCAGGAAGCAGCTGAAAGTTTGCAATTATGAGCCGTATGAATAAGGCAGATTTGATGGAGTGGCTGCGGGAAAACCAAATTGATTTCCCACCTTCAGCAACTGTGCGGCTTCTGCGATCGTTGTACAAAAGCCATATTGGAGCCCAGGGCGGAACGCCGAACGACAATGAAGACGACGGCGACGGAGATGGCGATGGTTCATCTTCAGGACACGAGGATCCGCTGGATTTGGAGTTGAGAATGTTGCAGAAACGTAAAATGATCGCCAATTTGCGTCGTGAGCTGGAGGACATCGAACAAACTCAAGGAAAACCACCTACGATTCAGGACGTCATGAATTCCGTTGCGCGGTTTTCTGGAGGTGATACATGCGATGCAAATAGATGGCTTAGTGATTTCGAGTCTGCGTGCGGATCTCTGGGTGGTAATGATGACTTCAAATTCAAATGTATTCGGCGTCTGATGGAACCAGGAACCGAGGCGGAATGGTTTCTCCGGGTTGACAAATCAAAGAACTACACCGAGTTTCGTACTAGCTTCCTGGACAACTTTGGCCATACCTACACAGTGGCTGAGATTGTGGATAAGCTGCGAAAGACGACCTACGACGCTCTCCAGATGTCAGTTGCTGCTTATATACTTAGGATGCAAGAAATTGCCTCCAGAGCGAACATCGATGAGAATCAAACCGTGCAGTTTATCATCGATGGTTTCCAGGACCGTTCAGCTAATATCGCAGTGCTTTATCCGGCCAAGGATCTGGCCCATCTGAAGCAGCTTTCACGCCGGTACGTTCAGTTGCGAGAAATGTACCCAACAACGACCCTGTCCCTGCCAGCGAGGCAGAAGATGAAGCCTGCTGCATCCAAACCGGACTTGCTGCGTTGTTACAATTGTTCAGGCATCGGTCATTTGTCTGCGGCCTGTAAGGAGCCACGTCGAGCAAAGGGCTCCTGCTTCCGTTGCGGCTCGACTCAACACCAGCTTAAGGAGTGCCCTAAGCCGTCCCCACGTAACAACAGCCAGGTGGCCTTGGCGGATGAATTTCGTCAGAATGCCAATGGTGATCGTTCATCCGCTGACGCTGGCGAGCTGGGAGCTGCTCTTTCGGAGCTGAATATTGTAAGTATTGCTTTCTCAATTGACAGTAACACACACTTATGTAGCACTGTACTTTCTATGTTCGACACGGGTAGTCCAATTAGTTTTGTGCGGAGATCAGTGGTCCCACAATCGATGGGTCCGAGAGAAAAGGTGGAGTCAGGATACAAAAGCATAGGTAACTACCCACTATGCACCTACGGAATAATCAGAGCATCTATCTCCTTCCGTGATCGTAAAATTTGCTTAAAGGTACATGTAGTACCAGATAACTACCTTTGTGTTCCTTTACTTCTGGGTCGGAATTTTTTGAAAGAAGTCGGCATTACCCTGTACGACACAAGATTTATTGATTTAATTGACATGAAATCCAACATTGAACTTGAAATTGGATCCGACCCAAATCGAATAAAAATTTCTGGAAAAGTGCTACATTGTGTGTTTGATTATTCAAATGATGCGCATTCAGAACTTATTATAACATGTAATCAGTGTGACAGTTCACCGGCTTCAGTGATCTCTAATATGCCTAATTTGGTACCTCAGGTTGTTGTTCCGCTTGTTCCGACAATGTCAAAGCAGCTGGATTCGATTGATTCCGTTCAGCTCAGTTCCGTTCATTCCGATATTTCCAATGTTAATGTGCTAAATAATTCCGTTCTGTCAAATCCTGTTCCGCTTGAAGGAAGAATACCTGTTCCAATGTCCCATTGTTATCCCGTACCTGATGTATTTTGTATTGACCTGAATGATAGTGATTGTGATTATGCGATAAACCCAGAATTGAGTGTTGTTAATCGGAGTAAGATTTTGAAAATCATCCAGGAAGACTATCTTGACCTTCAGAATATCCCAATTCAGGAACATTGTTACGAAATGAAGTTGAAGCTTACTTCCGATATCCCAATTAATTTTGCTCCACGGAGACTTTCATATTCCGACAAACTTGCAGTGGATCGTATAGTCGAGGAGTTATTGAGTGAAAACATTATACGGCCTAGTGACTCGCCCTACGCGTTTCCGATTGTTTTAAGAACGAAGAAGTCTGGCGAAAAGCGGATGTGTGTGGACTACCGTGCGTTGAACAAGTTGACTGTACGCGACAGCTACCCAATGCCTTTGATAGATGACTGTCTAGAGCGTGTTGAGGGAAAGAAGTATTTTACCGTGCTGGATCTCAAAAATGGTTTTCATCAGGTTAATGTGGCTAAAGACACCATTCCGTATACGGCTTTCGTGACGCCAAATGGGCAGTATGAATATTTGAAAATGCCGTTTGGATTACGTAACGCTCCGGCAGTGTTTCAGCGATTTATCAATTTCGTCTTGGCACCATTCATCAAAGAAGGAACTATCACAGTCTATCTGGACGATATCACAATTGCAACAACTACGATTCAAGAGCATATTGATGTTTTGCAACAAGTCCTCAGAACATTGGCAGGGTTTAGACTAGAGATCAAGTTTCAGAAGTGCCAATTCTGTTTTACGGAGATCGAGTTATTGGGATTCACTGTGAGTGAACGCGGCATCAGGCCAAACAATGTTCACTTGACTGCAATTGAAAAGCTGCCTCTACCATGTGACGCAAAACAATTAAGTAAATGCTTAGGACTATTTTCCTATTTCCGAAGGTTTGTCCCATCATTTTCAACGATTGCCATGCCACTACGTGCTTTGACGAACCCTGGGGTGAAGTTTAAGTTCGATGAGAAATGTAAAGATGCTTTTGAAACCTTACGCAGCAAGCTGATTACTTCTCCTGTACTAGCGCTTTATAATCCAAAGCGAGAAACAGAGCTACATTGTGATGCGAGTAGTGCAGGTTTCGGGGGAATATTGATGCAAAAGCAGGACGATGCGAAGTTCCATCCAATCGGTTATTTCTCCAAGCGAACAACTGCTGCTGAATCACGTTATCACAGCTTTGAGCTCGAGACCTTAGCAATCATCTACTCGCTAAGAAAATTCCGCATTTATTTGGAAGGCATTCCATTCCGCATCATAACAGATTGTAACTCGCTCACGATGACTTTGAACAAGAAGAGTGTTAATGCTAGAATTGGAAGATGGGCTATGGAGTTGGAAAACTATCATTACACCATTCAGCATCGCAATGGTAAGCTTATGAACCATGTGGATGCTTTGAGTCGGCTTCCTTCTGCCAGCATTGTAACTTATGATAACTCTGACCAAGTGATTTCTGCAGTCAACTCAGATGATCTCGATTTTCAACTTCAAGTAACGCAGGGCCGTGATAAAGATATTATCGAGCTAAGGGAAAGGTTAGAGAATGGACCCGTTAAGCATTTCACTCTTGAGGATGGATTGGTGTATCGCAGTAGTAGAATTGGAAAACTTCAGTTTTATGTACCAAAAGAAATGAAGACACATGTTATACGCAGTGTGCATGAGAAGTTATGCCATATGGGAATTACAAAGACCCACACACAGATTCAGATGCATTATTGGTTTCCGAACATGAAAGCTGAAGTGGAGAAATATGTTAAGAATTGTGTACGTTGTATTGTTCATTCCGATCCTAATTCCGATAGTCGTGCTTTGTATAGTATTCCGAAGAAACCTGTTCCTTTCGATACCATACATATTGATCATTTTGGCCCACTACCTTCAGTTGTATCCAAGAGAAAGCACATTCTGGTAGTAGTTGACGCGTTCACGAAGTTTGTCAAATTGTACCCAGTGAACTCGACCAGTACGAAAGAAGTTTGTGTATGTCTCGATAAGTACTTTGACAGTTATAGTCGACCAAGGAGGATTGTTAGTGATCGCGGGACTTGCTTCACTTCTTTGGAATTCAGTTCATATCTCTTAGAAAATAGTATCGAACATGTGAAAGTAGCTACTGCTTCCGCTCAGGCAAATGGCCAAGTCGAACGAGTCAATCGAATTATCAAGCTAAGCTTACAGAACCTGCTCAACATTCGAATTGGTGTACGATGTTGAGGAAAGTTGAATATGCTATAAACAATTCCGTTCACTCGAGTACTGGTAAGACCCCCAGCATACTTTTGTATGGAGTTCAACAGCGTGGTTTCGATGTGGATGTCCTCTCCGAGTATCTTGATGATAAGCTGAATTCAGATTCCGTGCGAGATTTAGAATCCCTACGACGTTCCGCTGCAGAATGTATAGAACATTCTCAGAATCGCAATTCTGAATTGCATGATAAGAAACATAGGCCTCCCAGTGTATTTTCCGAAGGTGATTACGTTGTGATTCGAAATATTGATACTACTATTGGAACCAACAAAAAATTTGTTCCTAAGTTCAAAGGCCCCTATCGCATACATAAAGTTCTTCCGAATGATAGATATGTTGTCAGAGACATTGAAAATGGACAAATATCACAATTACCTTATGACGGCATAATCGAATCGTCACGCATGAAGCGGTGGGCTGATTGGCGGGATTCAAATGATAGTGATTCTGATACTGTGCATCATTGAATGTGACAATAAGATTGAGAAGGCAATACATTCTGTTTGTGTATATGTGTGTTCAATTTCTGTGTTTTATGTGTATCTGTGTTCTCATGATCGAGCCGATCAATAGTCAGGCATGGCCGAGTTGTAGTATAATTATATGCCTGTTATGATTAGTGTGTAATCCATTTTCTAGTTTTAAGCCAGATATTGTGTTTTATGTTTGAGTGTTTTTTCTGTCCAGATTGTGTTCTATGTTTTGACAGTGTATTTCCGTTCTAAAAAATTGAAACCACCTTTATGGGTTCATCTAGATCCGTTTTGATTTCATTCGTGTAAAAGCAAGTAAAGCGTGCGGAATAAAATTTTTAACCGTTGAGTACGCGTCGTGGTTTTTTCATTCGGAAATCTTTACACCATTGAAATACTTTATTCCTGAAAACTTTTCAGAGGATTTCCAACAAAACATATGTTCCCCATGTTCTTGGCTGGATTTTCTTAATCGGTCGGGATGTTAAGGCGTCGTCCACTGTCCATGGTGTGGCATGTGCTAGCATGTCAAAACATGCACACGAGTGGGCACCTCGATTAATGTCAGACACTGCCCCACTACTGTGGCGGCGATGTGGCATGTCAAAACATTATGCTGAAACTTTGCATGTGGCGAACGTAAACATGATGTAAGTCAAGGTGTTTTCTGATATGGCGGCGGAGTGGCATCTGCTAGCATGGTAAAAAAGCTTGTCGAGGTTCGCCTTACGCCACATTGCACCCACATGATCTTTTGGAATGTTGTATGATGCCACACCGTCGCCACAACAGTGAGCGCCTCGTCTCGTGTCCGCAGTACGTTGTTTTAGAGTTATTCCGATTACACGAGTAAATCGCGTAAATGGAATACACGTAGCATGTGGGATTTGATTTAATTGGTTCCAAAATGGAATACTGCGTGATCCCGGTGATATAGGAAGTTAATGTCTTAGGCAAACATTTTAAGGTGAATAAGGTCTTTCGGATGGTGCACATATAAGTTCAGAGTTCAGTCACTAGGCGGCGTAAGTGTATATATGATATTTACTATGTGCTATTAATATCTCATGAACCTGACTTTGATGGAAAATTCAGTCCTCAACAATGTTTTTTTTTTCGGTGGACACGGTCTTTCACATGAAGAACAGGTTAGTTGCGAATGCTCCCGTTACGCGGTGCTATTGCATATGTGATATTTACTATGTGCTTTATCACAAAACCCTGAACAAAACCAAAACATTTTCCTATACAGTCTTCTACATAGTTGGTCAGCTAACCAAGTCATATAAAATGATGGACAATAAGTGTGGAACCTACTCACAACACGGTGCTAGTGTGTGTAAGAGCTTGTGCATGTGTCATATTTCAAAACTTTGGCATTCTGGGAAATAACTGTTCACTGCAAAGTTGTTCAGATGGCCAAGGTCACTGCAGAGTTGTCCAAAAAATATATGAAAACTTTCACGGATTTTTCATACGTTGTCGTAAGCGTGATTGACAACTTTTATGGATAATCCGGATCATCTGGACAACCTGTTTGTGGCCTCCAGGGTGTATAATTTGGCCTTAATGCCTAAATTAGTCAGAAAACACATCAACAAGTGCTTGCGCAAAAAAAACATGGAGCTCTAGGACCAGTTTCATGAATTGATCACTTTTACGGATGTTCGAAGATCAATGTGCTGCATATTTTGGCCACAAATGAATGCACAAAAAATCATTTAGCTATAGGCCAGTTTAATTAAATAAACCTCTTTTACGGATGTTCCGGATCTTTCGGAGGACCAGTCTATGATTCCCAGGGTCCATATTCTGGCCACAATGTGAAATTAATTCTAAAAACACATCAAAAAGTGTGTTCGCAAAAAACCACCCAAAAAACAATCGTCTATTGAAGAAACGACTTCTTGGCCATTTTATTCAACTGCATGCTTAATAGTACTTATACTATTTTTAATAATAACTTCTGTTCAGGCTTTGTTCACACAAATCTGGAGAATTTATTCAACCTCAACATTGAACTACTTGGTGTTGTATAAGGTATATCGAGAAGCTTTTATTCGACTTATATGAGTTATAACAGAGCTTATTCGATAACATTTTTGATTATTCAGCGTTTATTAGACATCACTGCTTTCCTTAAAACAGTGATTCTCTGTATACGCTTGATTCTCGTGTGAAGTAACGTTTAATTAGACATTATTATACATTTATTAAACGATAATTCTGTGGGAAAATTAACCCGAAAATAAGAGGGACTCCCTAATAAAAATAACCATAAGCTTAACGACGTGTTCAGAGTATCATCCAAACCATTTGTGGGATA